GGCCCTCCTCCACTGTCAGACAAATGAGTATATTTTGCTTCAATCCGTTGGGATTATGGCCCTCATTTCTGTGTTGGAGGATGAGGGATGGAAAATGAGGGGAAAGAGGATGAATCAGGAGCAGGTGGTTGTGCCAGTGTCACATGGCCAGTTTGTTGACGCACGTGAATGGCGTTTCACGATGGTGACATTGGACGCTGTAGAGGATTTTACTGGGCAGGCTGTGCAGTCAAGATGTCAAATGTCAGTCATTTTTAATCATTACCAATGTTTTCTCAAGTCCTAATATCACACACTTCATCCAGTTTCAAACATGCTTGAATGCAAGTCATTGTTCTCTTTTCCTTTAAATATTATTTTGTATATTTATACATTTACATTTATGTACATTTTATTTTAATAATTTAATATCCAGGTGAAAGTAATTGTAACTCTATTTGGTGGAAGGATAAATATTACCTGTTGATAAAATGCATAGATGATCATTTTATTAACATGTTATTGTGCTTAAAACATGCATATATGATACAAAATCATATGATGCATGATATTTTCTTTCTTTTTGGAAACAGGAGTTTTTAAAGCATTCAGTGACCTTTTTAACTGTTTGTATAACGGTCTGATTTTATATTTTGATTTTACATATTCTAATTGCATATTTTGAAGACGTTACAATTTTTATATTATTAATATATTGTTGTATTATATTTTTAATATGTAGGGGTTTATCGTGTTTTTGCACACACACACACGCACACACACACACACACACACACACACTTATTTATTTATTTCAGTATGTATGATGTGGTTTTGCTGTCTTACATTCTCCTTGTGAACCAGGCAGTAACAAATGAACAAATGTCTGAATTCACATATATTCTGTAACGTTACCATATTCTCTCTTACTTCGGTTCCATCAAGGCCCTTTTGAGATGTCAACTGATCTTTGTATTTTTCTTTGTCAGGTTGACAGAGTCATCAGGATCACTCACTGATGGACCAGTTAACTACAAGTACAAGACTAAATGCACTTGGCTGATTGAAGGATAGTGAGTACCACTATGTCAAGCTAATCTCACAGTCTTTGTTATTTATATGTATAATTTACCTTTTTTTTCCCCAAAGCAACTTACAAATTAGAATTAGAATAAAAAATTGTATTGATTTATTTCTGTGACATTAGTGGATATTAGGTTCAAATACATTTGTCTTATTATTAAAAAATAATATATTTTCTGCTTTTTATTTTAGCCCAAATGCTGTGCTCAGGTTAAGCTTCAACCATTTTGCCACAGAGTGCAGTTGGGATCACATGTATGTCTTTGATGGAGACTCAATATACGCACCTTTGGTAGCTGTGTTTAGGTAAGTGATTGTGGAATCAAAGTCATTAATACACACAAACTGACACAGCAGATGCAAACGTCAATTCATATCAAACAGAAATGCATTTTGTTGGCCTAAGGCAGTGCATATAATCTCATGAACAAAAGTATAACAAAATCATCAAATTCATAAAATTGAACAACTCCTTATGGTTAGTTCTATTAAATGAACAGTAAACTTTAACTTTAATCATGGTAAACATGGTCTGTGACTACAGTAAATGAAAAACAAGTTTAGTTTGTGGAAAAATTATACTATTCTGTGGCCATATTATTTTGACTTATTTTTTAAATAGTCATGTTTAACCATGGAATTACTGGTGACAAACTACAACAGTTTCATATTTTGCATCATCATTTCTGCATCATTTTAATTTGCGCAATTTGGCAGCCCACTTAATGGGATTGTAGTTCTTTCCCTCTTGCACCTTTGTATTTTTGTCCAGTTTTCAAATACATTTTCACAGCATAAAATTTGTAATGTTGTGATTCACCTCGTAGCTGGCTGGTTTGGTTCATGGTTCATAACGCTTTAGCAAAGACTTTTTTAGACTCCCTATATGGGAAAAATGAATAGGGAAAATACTTCCAGAACCAAGGTTGCTGAAAAAGTGGGTGGCACTGTTGCACTAGCTAATTTATGATGCTCCAGGTTACACAATGACCTTTGCTTGTTTGCTTGTTTTCCATTAGCTTGCAAGAAAAAATGTCACACTTTCAATAAAAATGACCAGTAGCAAGCATTCCTCAAGAACATCAAGTTACAGTCACATTAATAGTGAAAGCAGTCTGTTTTGCTTCACTCTATTTTCTCTCTCCTTTCTCTGTCTCTTTTTTCTTCCTCCTCTTAAATGTCATCTCTTATGCCTTTTTAATGGGATAGACCTTGTTTTCAGATGACTTGCTGGGTACTTTAGTGAGTGTGTTTGTGTGTTGGTGTGCAGAGTCTGGTCCATTGCATCTCTGTGGTTGTCCACTTTGTTGTGCTGAAGCACTGAATGTGAGCTTATTCTCTTCCTTATTAGTAAAATATTGGACAGTCAAGTGCATGCAGTAGAGATTTATCTTGCTCCTGATGCTGCTTGCTTAGCAACAGCTGTCCTCATGCTGAGTGGAACATGTGAACACAAAGGAAGGAAGTCTTTCCTGTCTGATTTGTGTGTCATAATCTTGCACGTCCAGTGGCCTGGTTGTCCCAGAAACAAAAGGAAATGAAACCATTCCTGAGGTGGTGACCACATCTGGATACGCATTGTTACACTTTTTCAGTGATGCTGCCTACAATCTTACAGGATTCAACATCTTTTATTTGTGAGTATCGTTATACAGTCACAATGCTTTCACACACACACACACATACATACATATATATATATATTTTTCCTGATCACTCTTCCCCTGCTGTGTTTTTCAGGATCAACTCCTGTCCTAATAACTGTTCAGGTCATGGAAGGTGTACAACGGGCAACTCCATCTCCAGCAGTGTTTACTGTGAGTGTGAGCGATACTGGAAAGGTGAGGCCTGTGATATTCCCTACTGTTGGGATGACTGTGGCAGTCCTGACCGCGGATACTGTGACCTCACCGGAGAAAAGCTCTGCGTCTGCAATGATAGCTGGCAAGGTGAGGGGCAAGTAATTGTTCATATGTCTTTATAATACAACTGTATACAGTGTCTCCAAAACTGTCAGATGTTTTGACAATGTAAATGTTCTCTTTCACAAATGTTCAGTTACTGGTAAGATTTTTTTTGTAAGAATGTAATTTTTATTTGTTACAAAAATATAAAGCAGCACTGCTGTTTTCAAAATTAATAATAATAAATGTTTCTTGAACACCAAATAAGGATTATGTGACACTGAAAACTGGAGTAATGATGCTGAAAATTCAGTTTTGCCAGCACAGAAATAAACTACATTTTAAAGTCAATTAAAAAAAGAAACCCGGTATTTTAGGTTGTAATAATATTTCATTGTATAACTGTGTACATTTGTGCATTTTCCTTATATTCATTTTCTAAACTCCACGTGACTGCAAATACATGAACTATTCTTTAAAGCCACTTAAATAAACAAACAGTAACAAAATCTTATATTTTATGTTTTATGTCAGTAGTGCCACCTGCTGGTTATCAATGATATGTTGGTTAATTTTTTGATGCACCACACGTTTAACATCAGGTTGAAACTAAAGTATTAAAAATATAGCTATGTTATTTAATAGTTATGTATGTATATAATTGCAAAAAGAGAGCTTTTATTAGTGTACAGTTTCAATTGTATTTCGTCACCATCGTCACAAACACTTAACCAATCCCATCAACCTGCATGGCGCGGCTTTCATATCTGGTCATAGGTTTCAATTTACAACATGTTTTTGCAGCGTTGAGCATTGTAGCCAATCACAGACATAAGGCTGTAAATAAGGCTATTATTGAGATGCTAAGATAACGTACAGTTGTTTAATGTCTTTATGATGGAGATGACTGGAAAATGTTTGGAAAAGACTGCTCGCTTTGGCTTGATGTGAACTTATTCTTTATTTAGAGATGTGCTTTTACTAACCGCTAGATGGCAGCGTTGGATCCTTAAAAAGTGTAGCTATTTATTTGTAGTATTTTTATTTTTTTTTTGTATACAGCTACTTTTATTATTGCCATTTTTATCACTATATATTCAGTGATTTTTAAGACATGATTAGGTTTCTGCGGTCTGATTCATTAGATCATTTGTGATTCAAGGAAAGAACGAGCATATTTTGCTTGTTAACCATGTTATTGAAAATACATATCAAGTTGTTGTCAGTTCTGGTCCATATCTCTCAGCGTTTGTTCAAAGTCTTAAACTAGAGCATATGACACACAGCTTTTGGTGAACACACACTTCTCTGCAGTTTACATTTACATTTACATTTAGTTATTTAACAGACGCTTTTATCCAGAGCGACTTACAAATGAGGACAATAGAAGCAATCAAAACTAACAAAAGAGCAACAATATATAAGTGCAAATGACAAGTCTCGGTTAGCCTAACGCAGTACACGTAGCAAGGTATATATATATACAGTGCACAGTATAAATGAGTACACCCCCTCAAAAACTGAACAAATTCAGCAATTACTCTTTACTTCGAAGACATGTTAGGGTTCTTTGGAGATGTAATGTTCCAACAAGCCTGCTTGATCAATTACCAAAGAAGAATGCCACAATTATTCAGCAAAATAAGATTTTCTTATCAAAGTGATAAAATGTTGTGTTGCAAAAATGAGTACACCCTCCTGAAAGTTACTAAATAAAACAAAACAAAAAAGTGTATAGGTTTAAGGCTATTTTTGATCAACAGGTAAGTATATTGAACCAAAACGTTTAAAGACAAGTAATTTCCTGACAATTAAAAGTGTTATATAGCCCACTGAATCATACTCAGACTTAATGCTGGCAGCAGTGGAACCACTTGGGAGAGAACTGCCAGGTGACTTATTTCTTGGTATAAAAGAGGACAATGGTACAAGAGGAATACCAAATTATTGTTTTAAGTGTGAAAATATAGCAGAAGTAGCACCAACATTAAAAAACAATGGACTTGTAATAAGGCTCCTGAAATAATCAGGCCTACACTTTAAGTTTTAATTTAGTGATGAGTGAATTTTTGCTTGAAAAAGAGCAGGAGCAATAACATGCTGAGCCGGCAAAAGCTATGAAAAGAGTGACACTTTATCTCACAGAGTAAGATGCAGCATGCAGAAGTGACATGCATGGTTTATATATATATATATATATATATATATATATATATATATATATATATACACATACATACATACATACACACATACAAAGAAAAACAAGTAGATGGAAAAGAAAAAATAGAAAGCTAGTGTTTGTTTTTTTTAATAAAAAATAAGATAAATAGATAAAGTAGAATTAAAATAGAATAAAAAGTGCTAGAGTTAGAGGGTCAAATAAAGATGGAACGGTTTTTAGTCAATTCTTGAAGATTGAAGTTGAGGCAGGTCATTCCACAAGGAGGGAACAGTTAATGTAAAAGTCAGTGAAAGTGATTTTGTGCCTCTTTGAGATGTCACAAGAGACCAAGTCAATCATTTCGGATCCAAAAGCATCCAAAATGTTCTGGTGTTGCTAGAGGAGGAGTACAGTGAGAAGTGCCTGGTACCCACAGTGACGTTCAGTGGTAGTAAAGCTTTTATATAGGGATGAATGAGTGCTGAAGGTGTGAGGGAGTTGTGCTTTATCAATGCTGGCATGATATCACACACTACTGTGTGATGTAATACAAAAACTTGAAACAGAAGATGCTACCCTCCCCTCATTCCCTGCTTTATTGGGCATTTTTCAGCATGACAATGAAGATATTCATTCTCCTGAGGTGAAAATCCTTCAGTGGACATGTATTTCACTCAATCTTAACACTCTTGAGCTGCTGTGGGGGATTCTGTAGAGACGAGCTGAGCAACACTCCCCATCAAAGACCAGGGCATTCAAGGAGGTAAATGATCCTGAAGACATTGATTAGCATGCTCAGGTGTGTTTGATTAGGGTTAGAGCTAAACTCTGCAGGAAAGTGGACCTCGTGGGTCAGATTTGAGGATCCCTGTTCTAGAGGGCACACAACTCTGAAGTAATGAATTTAGGTAAAGGGGTGCAGAGCCAGCGGTGGTTTTGTAGGCAAACATTAATGCCTTGAATTTTATGCGAGCAGTTACTGGTAGCCAGTTCAAATTGATGAACAGAGGTGTGACGTGCGTTCTTTTCGGCTCGTTAAAAATTAATCTTGCAGCGCCATTTTGGATTCATTCAATTGTAGAGGTTTGATAGAACTGGCTGGAAGACCTGCCAAGAGAGCATTGCAATAGTCCAGCCTGAACAGAACTAGAACTTGAACAAGGAGTTGTGTTGCATGTTCTGAAAGAAAGGGCCTGATCTTCCTAATGTTGTATAAAGCAAATCTGCAGGACCGGGCAGTTTTAGCAATGTAGTCTGAAAAATTCAGCTTATCATCAGTCACAACTCCAAGGTTTCTGGCTGTTTTTGAAGGAGTTATGGTTGATGAGCCTAGTTTAATTTGCCCGTCTAGTTTCTTATCCGCTTCTTTCTCATTTCAGGTCCAGATTGCTCTTTAAAAGTTCCTTCGGCTGAACCGTACTGGTTTCTGCCTAACGTGAAGCCTGATGGACAGTCACTAGGCCGGGCTTCCCATAAAGCAGTGGTTCATGGGAAGCTGATGTGGGTGATTGGAGGGTTCACCTTTAACTATAACTCCTTTCAGATGGTTATAAAGTAAGTTCTCCTGCCTGGTAACATCATAAGCCAATATTTTGTACTTCACTTAATGCATCTGCATGCATCATATTACTTGTGTCGATATGAATTGTTCATGCACTCTTATGTTTTATTTTGTGATGTGATTTTAAATGCAATTTGTAACATTCAGGGTTTGTTGTTACATCCCAGTCACCAGGGGTTGATTAACTTTGACCTCTACCCATAATTCTATATGGCTTTCAACTCTTCAATATCTACTACTTTTTTTTTGCTAAATTCAAAATACTTTAAATGTAAGATCAGAAATTATTATTATATATTTTGTAGAAAAAAATAAACCTTTCTTTGTTTTAATAATTCATGCATCAACAGTGTTTCTAAAACGTACAATAACTGACTTAGGTATTTTTCAGTTTGATGTCAATAAGATTTTTTTTAATGAATGCTTTTATTTAGCAAAGCCAAGAATGCATTCAATTGCTCAAAAGTGACGGTAAAGACATGCACAAAAGTTATATCTGAAATTGAATAATTGATTTGTTAAATCAAATTAAAATTAGTGTGTCAGATTGGTCAAGACGCTACACCAAATATATGACAAATGTTATTTACACTACAAAATGCTGCTAAACAATACATACTTTGGTGGTGCCCACAGAAACACCCAGCTATACTGTACAAAATTCTCATTTTCTCTCTCTCACATATATATATATATATATATATATATATATATATATACAGTGGTCGGTCGTATCTATAAAGAAAAAAATTTGTGTGAAAAATATTTTTTGATTTAGGTATCATTTTGATTTGTATAATGTCCACAAAATTGCCTATGATTAGTTTCGTTGAGGTTGAACTGGAATATCCTACATAAAAATAGTCTGCGGCCAGCACTACAGATAGTAGGCTTGTTCGAGATGCACTACACTAGCCTGCCACTGGCAATTGCAATTGGGGCGGAATTAAAAGCGGCGACGTCAAGTCGGACAATAAAGTGGGGGTATATATGCTTTTATCAGTGTTTTTAATAAAAATGACTCAAGATAACAGTGCGACTACACTAAAAAAGCTTTTACTGTTATAAAAAACAGATTTGTGAGCATTATTGGAATTGAGTTGTTAGAATTAGCACGCAACACACGTCGTGCTTGTCATCACAGAATCTGACCAATGAGAATAAAGTGTGTCGTCATCAAGGCTCTCGCAGCCGATTTTGAGCAACTGCAGTGCCTGACTTAGGCGGCTGGTCTCGTTTTGCTCTCGCGGTACTTTGATGACACATGTGATCAAAGTCGGACAAATGTTAGGTGCGTTCGACTTCATGCAGCACTGCGCAGATCGATCACAATCTGCCTTGAAGCAGTGTTAGCGTTGGGTCGTTCTTGAACGATTCGTTCATTTTGAACTAATCTTTAATGTGACTCAGGAAGAACGAGTCGTCTCGGGGAGTGATTCGTTCAGTCGCGCATGCACAACGTCCTATAGGTTCTGTACTGGAATTAGTCAAGTATTTCACCTGTTTCGAGTCTTCGGATTTTCCGAGTCGTTAATTCATCACGTGACAGACCCATAAGCTTAACCTATGCAGTCTGAGCCGGAAAGAGACTTAATAATAACCAACGCTTTATTACCTTTGTTACAACATTCAGTGTTATGGAAAAGAACCATCATGACAGAAATTCACACATTTATAAACTGTAAGAAGTAAAAAGCTACAATTTGAGACCAGAAA